ATCAATTCAAATACTTCTGTCAGAGGACTAAATCTACCTCCTCCACTCCTTGCCATAAGACTAGAAAAAAAGCCTGTAAAATCAATTACATATTGTTACAACTCTCATCTACAGAAAGAATCTTGATTAAATTCCATTTGTAGGGGCATAAGATGAAGAATTGCTCAGCCTTTTGAATCAAATCACTAAGACTGTGTGTTTAAGGATTTTAATCACCACTTTTTTGTTATTTAGATAAAGTCAGCCTATGGGAAACAAACAAAATAGCACTTATAGTAAAGCTAAGTCAATGAAATGGAGAAAGAACAAAGCTTTATTTATTCAACAAATATGCATTCAACATTTAATATGCATCAGGTCATATTCTAGGAAATAGGGCTAAATCATTTAGCAAAACATGAAAAAAAAAAAAGTCACCCAATAGAGACCAACATAGAGAAAGGTACAGGAAAAAATACAATCATAATTGAAACATAAATTGTGACATAGTATGAAGAAAAAAAGGTAACTTAAGAGGCTGTTTCTCAGAGGTTGATCTATGAATTGAGACTAAGCATAATGATATGATCCAAGTCCCTGAATTGAGCCATATCTAATCATATCTGTCTTGAAAGTCTAAGACTTTTAAACCAATAAATTTGCTTTTCTCATGTTAGATTATATTGGGCATCTTTCACTTGGAAAATGAAGGTATTCAGCACTCCCCAGCCCTTTTGACACCATGGACTGATTTCCTGGAAGAAAATTTTTCCATGGAGGAGATGGTGAGGGGGGATGGTTTCAGGATGGTTGAAGTGTTTTACATTTATCGTGCACTTTACTTTTATTCTTATTACATTGTGTCCTTCATTTTTACCATTCTTATATTAGATTATAATAAGGAGTGTCCAACCTAGATCTCTTGTATGCACAGCTCACAGTGGGGCTAGTGTTCCTATGAGAATCGAACACAGACACTGATCTGACACAGGTAATAAACCCAGAGCTATGTAGAGGGGCCCTAAGTACAGATGAAGTTTTGCCTGCCAATCACCTTCTGCTGTGTGGCCTGGCTCTAACAGGCCACTGATCAGGACTGGTCTGTGGTTTGCTGATTTAGAACCTGTGGAGGTATTTTCTCAATATACGAGAGAGAGAGAGGGAGAGAGAGAGAGAGAGAGAGAGAGAGAGAGAGGGAGAGAATATAAAGAATTGGCTCATTGGCTCATGTAATTATGGAGTATGGAGCCTGAGAAGTCCCTGAAGCAGCAACCTGGAAAGCATGGAAATCTGGCAGTGTGAGTTTAGGTCTGAGTCTCAGTGTCAAAGAAGGAGAAGACCAAAGTCACAGCTCAAAGACAGGCAGTGAAGAGAATCCTCCCTGACTCAGCCTTTGTTGTGATCAGGCTTTAAACAGATCAGATCAAGCTTGGCTCCACTGAGGATGGCAATCCAGGAAGGCAAATCCAGCTGGAGTACTTAACCAAAAGTCTGGGCGCTCTGTGGATCAGTCGTGTGAAAATATTAAAGTTAATCATCATATTTTATCAGATTTCATATTACACAGTCACACTGAGGCCTAAGTATCCCATACCAGTTTTTTCATTATATGTAATAGACACATTTATTTTTCAGTTCAAGAACGTTTTCTGATATTATGCCTCAGATATTTTGTTTTAATTCCCTTCTTTAAGATTTCATATTTTATAATGATTTTTAATTCTATCTTTGATATACAGCATCTTCTGTTTGTTCATTTATTATTTTTTTGCCTTTTATGTGATGAAGTATTTCTGATATATTCTTTCTAACAATTTAGGGTAGAGAGAAAAGCAATATAAAGAAACTTGTGAGCATTTATTTCACAGATTTCTGAAGACTATAAATTAGGAAATTAGAATTGCTTTTGTGAGACCTAAATAACTCCATTTTAAAATTTGACTCCATCTTAGAATAAGGCAGCAAAGTGGCCTTGACATAAATTCCTCTTCACTGAAGTCAACTATTCTCCTAGTCTCCTTTGTGCCCATAAAGTAATGATAAAATGTCCTTGCTCTGGGACAACAGATAAAAAAAGGACACAGCTCCTAACTCAATCCTCTGTTTGCCCAGAAAACAGACGCTCCTGGGCCCATTATCTGTGTGCTGATCATGAACATTCTGTCAATGAGCTGATTGTTCCTTTTTTATAAAATCTACATGTAGCCGCCCCTCAATCCCCCTCCCCGTACACCCCATACTTGCTAAATATCAACCAGTCATGTAACTGCTAAATAAAAAATCCCTAAACCTTGCTATAGCCACAATAAAAACCCTGCTGATTTAAAATTCGGGGCTCTCAATCCTGATCTGCTGTGCCGGTGACGGTTGTGAGTCCCTGCTCGAGCTTGAATAAATGACCCTCGTGTGTTTGCATCGGAATTGGCTCCCTGGTGGTCTTTGGGGACTTCGCGATCTGGGCACAACATTTGGGGGCTCGTCCTGGATCCCCAAAACCCCCAGGACCTCTGAACCGGAGGGTCAAAACTGGCCGGTGAGTGTCTCTGTGTTTGCAAAGTTGTCTGTCTGTAATTCGGGGGCCCAATTATTTCTGAGTAGGTCGGCAAATGGTCTAAGCGGATGCGCTGGTGGGCCGCCGACCCAGGGTCTTGGAAGACATTCCTGGCGACAGTGGTCAACCCACCACCAATGTTGACACTATCAATACTTCTTTTCCTTTGTCCCGGCCCGACTGGGACTTCAACACAGCAGAAGGTAAGGAGAGGCTCCGGGTCTATCGCCAGGCTCTGTTGGGAGGTCTCAAGGTAGGGGATGTACAACAGGGGCCGAACAAAAGCCCTGCAGCCTTCCTAGAAAGAATTCAGAAAGCCTTCTGTAGGTATACTCCTATGGATCCAGAAACAACTGAGACAAAGGCGGCCGTTATCATGCATTTTGTCAACCAGGTGGCGCCAGATATTAAGAGAAAGTTACAGAAAGTAGACAGACTGGGAAAAGAGTATTCAGGACTTAGTGGTAGTGGCAGAGAGCGTGTATAACAATAGAGAAACTGCAGAAAAAAGACAGGCAAAAGCTGGTGATTGGCAAACTAGGAACCTAGCTTGGATCCTTCTTGCCACCACTGCGGGAGAGCCGAAAGAACGTGAACATCATCTGAGAAAGATTGCAGCAGAAGGACAAGGTAAAGGGGAACATAGGGATCACCCCCCATTGAGAAAGAACCAGTGTACTTATTGCAAGAAAAAAGGCCACTGGGCCAGAGAATGCCCTAAGAAGCTGGGAAGCCACCCCAAGGCCCTTATCCTGGCTATGGATGAACTGAGTGACTAGATGGGACGGAGTTCGGTACCCCTCCCCAAGCCCAGGGTAACCCTAAAAGTGGAGGGGAGACCTGTCGAGTTCCTAGCAGACACAGGGGCTCAACATTCGGTTCTGCTTAAACTTCATGGCCATGTTTCTGACAAAACTTCCTGGGTCCAAGGAGCCACAAGCATGAAAAAGTATTCATGGACTACCCGAAGAACGGTAGACTTGGGAGTGGGCCGGGTAACCCACTCATTTATGATTATACCTGATTGCTCCTATCCTTTACTTAGAAGAGACTTGCTCACTAAGTTAGGAGCCCAAATCTATTTTCAGTCCGGGGGTGCAGAAGTCTTTAACCAAGAGAGAAAGCCCATCCAAGTGTTAGCTATGAGCCTTGAGGACGAATATCTGCTACACCAGGGGCAACCCCCCCCCCCTTAATTCGGACGTGAAACAATGGCTTGCCATATTCCCGCAAGCATGGGGCTGGCCACACACAGGACACCTGTGTTTGTAGAGATAAAGCCAGGGGCAGACCCTGCACAAGTTCACCAATACTCCATGTCTCCAGAGGCCCACAAGAAAATAACTCCACACATCAGGAGGCTACTTCCCCAGGGAATTCTAAGGTCATGCCAGTCAGCCTGGAATACCCCCTTGTTGCCAGTACGGAAACCTCATTCAAATGATTACAGACCAGTACAGGACCTCCATGAAGTAAACAAGAGGGTCATAGACATCCACCCTACGGTACCTAATCCATATACCCTCCTGAGTTCTCTGCCCCCGAACCACCGATGGTACACAGTCTTAGACCTCAAAGATGCCTTCTTCAGCCTCCCACTGGCACCCAAAAGCCAACATATCTTTGCATTTGAATGGAGCAACCCAGAACAAGACATCAATGGACAGCTAACCTGGACCTGATTGCCACAGGGATTCAAGAACTCTCCCACTATCTTTGACGAGGCTCTGCATGAAGACCTGGGTGAGTTCCGCCTCCAGAACCCCCAATTAACTCTGTTACAATGTGTAGATGATCTCCTTATAGCAGCTGAGATGCGAGAGGACTGTTAACAGCTGAAGAAAAGACTATTAAAAACAAAGAAAAAATTCTTGCCCTACTGGTGACCCCCTTTGGCTGCCAAAGAAATTGGCTATTATCCACTGTCCCGGGCACCAAAAGAGTGATACTCTGATTGCTCGAGGAAATAATTTGGCCAACCAGACAGCTCGAAAAATAGCTCTAGAGACTGATCTGACACTAACCACTCAGCTGCCAGATCCAAAAAGTGCTGCCTTGCCAAAAAAACCCCAATATACTGAAGAAGACTTAAAATGGATGAAACAATTACCCATGCCCCAATGCCTCAACAGGTGATAAAAATCCTCTGATTGTAAAGTCATCCTGTCTGAAACACTGGGAGAGCAAGTTCTCTCCAAAATACACCAAGCCACCCACATGGGCACCCAAAAGATGCAGGACCTCCTGAGACATGCAGAGATAAAGATTCGAGAAGCTAATTCCAAGATTGAGCATATTGTTGCCACCTGCAAAGCCTGCCAACTGACCAATGCTATCTCAAATAAGGCTAACCCTGGCAGCAGATTGAGAGGAGACTGACCTGGTGTATACTGGGAACTAGACTTTACTGAGGTATGACCTAGAAGATATGGTTACAGATACCTGCTAATCTTATAGATACTTTTTCAAGATGGACAGAAGCTTTTCCTACCAAACATGAGACAGCAAGGATTGTGGCCAACGTTGCTAAAAGACATCTTGCCAAGGTATGGTTTCCCAGTAATGTTAGGGCCAGACAATGGACCCGCCTTCATTTCCAAGGTGAGTCAAGGTTTAGCGCAGATACTGGGGGCAAATTGAAAATTACATTGTGCATACAGACCTCAGAGTTCAGGACAGATAGAAAGAATAAATAGAACCCTAAAAGAGACCTTGACTAAATTAACCTTAGAGACTGGCGGTGGCTGGGTGACTCTCCTACCCTATGCCCTCTATAGGGTACACAATTCACCCTATAAGATGGGGCTAACCCCTTTTGAGATCATGTTTGGGATACCTCCTCCCATTATCCCTAACCTTCAATCTGCGGTACTTGCTGAATTTGATGATCAAAAACTGTTATTCTTCTTAAAGAGCCTCCAGCTTGTTCATGAAGACATCTGGCCTAAATTAAAAGCCCTGTACAAGTCCAGACCACCCCCAAGCCCCATCGCTACTGACCAGGGGACTGGGTCTTTGTCCAGAGGTATTGACAGAAAAACCTTGAGCCTCGCTAAAAAGGACCCCATGTTACTGTCCTGACCATGCCCACCACTCTCAAAGTCGACGGGATCACCTCGTGGATACATTACACTCACGTCCGCCCCACAGATCCACACGCCATTTTAAAAGACTTCATCCCATCATGGCAGGTGTCCAAAGACTGAGACAACCCACTCAAACTCAAACTGCGTCGTCGTCAGTCATAATTATGGTAACTGTACTTTTAACATCGGTAATGAGAAGACAAAACCCACATGCTCCTCTAAACTTAACCTGGGTTATCATTAGTACCCCCACGGGTGACATTGTTAATAGTTCATCTAAATTGGCTCCACCGCTAACCTGGTGGCCTACCCTAGATTTGGATTTGTGCTTACTAGCAACAGGGACCTGGGATATCGGGGATTGGGAGATCGGAGATGGGAGAAAGCCTAAATGTAAACCATGCAATAAGAGCCTGGATCCCTCCACCTGAACCATATCCCTACCCACGGCCCCAAAAAGACTAGACCCTGGGTGTAGCCAACCCGCTCAGAGAAATGCTTTGCGAAGTACCCCTTTCTATGTTTGCCCTAGAAAAAAACATTCGTGAACTCGAACAAAAAATTGCGGGAGAGCTGATAACTTCTACTGTGCGACATGGGGATGTGAGTCCACAGGTACTGTCCCATGGAGTCCTCCCGTCAAAGATGATCTAATCTCCCTAACAAGAGTCCCTGGACCCAACGGCTTTCAAATGAGCCATGGTAAAAGTAACTTCATGGTCCTTAGTGGCCCATGCACGGGATTCCTCTGTAACCCAGTTAGACTTTCATTTACCAACTAAGGCAAAAGATATACCAGATGGGAAATGGGCTGAACATGAGGACTCCGCCTATATCAAGATGGTCATGACAATGGGCTATTATTCACTGTAAGACTAAAAATAGAACCATATGTCGTGGGGCCTCCCCAACAGGTTGGGCCAAATTCTGCACTAATCCCACTGTTCCCCCCACTCCTCCTAGGTCCACCAAGCCCCCTTAGCTCCCCACACAGGCTGTCACCAGGACTGGGAGGGTCAACCAAAATCAAAAGGCAGAAAGAGCTGACCAAGGCCAGGATCCCCTATGGGGACTGATAGTTCACACCTTCAAGGCCCTAAATGCCTCTAGGCCTGACCTCACTCAGTCCTGCTGGTTATGTTATGATGTCAAACCCCCTTACTATAAAAGAGTAGCTTACCTAGACAATTTCACTGAGTCAGATAGTCCAACCCAATGTAGATGACAACAAAAGGGGATAGCCAGGCTAACCCTACAATCTGTGACTGGTCATGAAATTTGTGTTGACAGTGCCCCGGCCACTCACCAACACCTTTGCAACTGAACCTATCAATCTAGTCCAGAAAAATACCTTGTACCCCCTTCTGATAGGTGGTGGGCTTGCTCCACTGGGCTCACCCCTTGTGCACATAAAAAGGTACTCAACCAGACTGGGGACTTTTGTGTACTAGTACAATTGGTTCCTAGGCTATTATATCATTCAAAAAAAGATATTTTTAGTCATCTGACTGAGGCCCCAGGTAAAGTCAAACGAAAACCTATAACAGCCATCACTTTGACAGTTCTCCTAGGTTTAAGATTAGCTGGGACAGGAACAGGAGTCTCATCGTTGGTGTTACAAAACAAACATTACAATGATTTGAGAGCAGCCATAGACATAGATATTAAAAGACTAAAAAGCTCCATCTCCCACCTACAAGAGTCACTGACCTCTCTGGTGAAAGTAGTGCTCCAGAATCGGAGTGGGCTAGATTTAATCTTTCTACAACAAGGAGGGCTCTGTGCTGCCTTAGGTAAAAAATGTTGTTTTTATGTGGACCACTCAGGAGTGGTCAAAAAATCTATGACAGAGGTTAGAAAAAGTCTAGCTAAACAAAAATGAAAACAAGAACAGAATCAAGGTTGGTTCGAGTCCTAGTTCAATTCTTCTCCCTGGTTGACCACTCTAATCTCTACCCTGTTGGGACCACTACTCATCTTGTTACTTCTATTGACATTTGGACCTTACATACTTAACAAGTTGGTATCCTTCATCAGAGAACACATTAACACAGTACAGCTAATGGTACTCAGATCCCAGTACCAACCAGTTTCTGAAGACCTAATAAAAATAACTCCCAGAGGCCCATGATTGGTCCTCTTTAGCTTCATGAGAAGGGGGGAATGTGAGACCTAAATAACTCCATTTTAAAATTTGACTCCATCTTAGAATAAGGCAGCAAAGTGGCCTTGACATAAATTCCACTTCACTGAAGTCAACTATTCCCCTAGTCTCCTTTGTGCCCATAAAGTAATGATACAATGTCCTTGCTCTGGGACAACAGATAAAAAAAGGACACAGCTCCTAACTCAATCCTCTGTTTGCCCAGAAAACAGACACTCCTGGGCCCATTATCTATGTGCTGACCATGAACATTCTGTCAATGAGCTGATTGTTCCTTTTTTATAAAATCTATATGTAGCTATCCCTCAACACCCCCCCCGTACACCCCATACTTGCTAAATATCAACCAATCATGTAACTGCTAAATAAAAAATCCCCAAACCTTGCTATAGCCACAATAAAAACCCTGCTGATTTAAAATTCAGGGCTCTCAATCCTGATCCGCTGCGCCAGTGACGGTTGTGAGTCCCTGCTCGAGCTTGAATAAATGACCCTCGTGTGTTTGCATCGGAATTGATTCCTTGGTGGTCTTTGGGGACTTCGCGATCTGGGCACAACACTTTCATATGGCATTTACTGGAAAATCTGAGTCCCACAATTGTGTAACAAACAAATTCTGTAAACTTGACTAGCCTCAATATCTTATTTTTTTGATACCGGGGATCAAACTCCAGGCCTTCCGCTTGCGAGACAGGCTGCAGAACCACTGAGCTAAATCCCTGGCCCTACTCTGAAACATTTTAGAGGCCTTTGGACAGATTTCCTTAAAGAGTAATGTAGCATCAAGGCTGGAGATAGTTAATATCCTATGAAGAAATGTTTATTCAAGAAGATGCACTGAGCAAACCAGGTGACCGAGAAACCTACAAACTCAGCTGCTATTAGAAAGGAAGGTTGTGGCCGGGGATTTAGCTCAGTGGTTACGGCGCCTGCCTCGCAAGCGCAAGGTCCCGAGTTCGATCTCAGGTACCAAAAATAAATAAATAAATAAACATAGGCATCCTCTTTAAAAAAAAAAAAAGGAAGGTTGTGAACATTTGAAAACTGCTGGACCTAGCAGTAGCTGTTGTTTGGTCTCTGTTGGTTGTCTGTGACAATTGTTGGTATATTTGGCGGGGGGAGACTCTGAGTCAGGAACTGTCTCATTTGGGATTTTTTGCTGCTCAGAGGGCGGCTGTTGAAAACTGCTAACAGGGAGTTTGCTGGGAGCCACGGAAGTGGGAAAGACTGTTAGTAAGTGCCTTCCATTCTCTCTGCCATCCCCTTGTGCCACTCATGAAACCTGAAGGGAGCATAGAGAAGGTGGATTTTTCCCATATTATCTCATGAAGGAGTGTGATTAAAAATTTTTCTAAGCAATTTGAAGGTCTAGAAACTCTGTTGCCTGAATCCAGCAATAGAGAACTTGACTTTTAGCCCTATTTCAAATCCAAGGTAGGGAAACACTGGTACACAGCTATAAATAGGCTCATAATTGATCTTTTTCCAGATGCAAGCCTCTCTCAGCTATCTTGACTCAGACTGTCAGTGAGCTGCAGGTATAGAGGGAATAATTGGGAAAGCTACCCAAGCTCTCCAGGATGTTTTAGCCTCAATAGTTTACTCCTCTTTTCTACCCCTCAGACAGGCAGTTGGTTGGCAATCTTCCCATTTTCAGAAGGGTAGGGAAAAGCAGATTATCATCTCTACAATATGCTCCTAAACACTCTACAATTTTCCTTCAGACTCACATCTGAGCTTTATTACTTGAAGATTTCAGCTTTCCAGAGAAAACATCACTCTATGTCCTTCCATGTTCCTCCTGTCAATCTCCTTTCCTTGCAGATTCATCTGAATCTGCAGATTCTGGATGAACCTCGGCTAAAAGGGAGAGCTTCAGTTCTTCACTGGCAATGATTAAGCCAGGTTTATTTGTGCTGTGAAGCTCAAGGAAGAAGAAAGTTTCTCTCTAATGGGAAAGACTTCAGCAAAGACTGCCTTGCCTTAACTCCTATAATAGAGACTTTCTGTGTTCATTTTCCTTTCCTTAATTTACAACAGCCTTTACCATCTTAATGAGTGCTCGGGGAAACTTGGAGTGAAAACCAACTAATGGCCAATGTCAATTCTTTTTTTTTTCCTTTTCCTCTTTTCCCTACTGGACCTGTGAGATTTGGATTCATGCATCCCCTTTGACTATTGAGAAAAGATGGACCTAGTCCAAGAATAATGTTGCAATAATGGGTCCCTGGAGTTTTGAGAAGTGTGACTATCAACCAACATATTGAGGGTATAACTAATAAGAGACAAAAAAGTTTTTCAGTAATGCTTTGGGGAACAATTCTCAGGATTCTCAGTAGAGAAGGTAGGAATACAGCTTTGAGCATTGACATATCAGCAGTATAAAGGAGTGGAATAGTCTTTTCAAAATAGAAATGGTTATGGTAATACTAGGTTTACTGGATTCAGCTAGGGAACATAAAAAATGGAATGAAGACAGTATTTGAATCTTCAGATAAAGAGGTGATAGTCATCAGCAATAATTTTAGAAATGCTCTAATTTTCTCATGAGCTTTAGTCTACCTATCTAGTGAATTAGTGGTGGTGAAAAAGTATGTCAGGGAAGACATCATCTATAAGATAATTGTTTTATTAGTATTTTATAGTTTTTTAATGATTATTAATGGAAGATAGAAAAGGGCTTAGGGGAAGATAAAATATTACAAACCATGCTGTAATAGGCACAAGGAGGGCTTCTACCAAGTGTCATGAAGTATCCTCTCTGGAGCTGGTGGTGCTGACTCCCTCTATTATCTCTGAAAGGCTGAAACCTTTAGGAAATTTTCCCTGGATAATTTAAAAATAAAAGACAGATACCCCTTTTCACCAAGATGGCGCGGAAGGCAAAGAAGGAAACTCCTGCCCCTCCCAAAGCTGAAGCCAAAGCAAAAGCTTTGAAAGCCAAGAAAGCAGTGCTGAAAGGCATCCACAGCCACAAAAAGAAGAAAATCTGCACGTCACCCACCTTCCGCTGTCCCAAGACACTGCGGCTCCGGTGGCAGCCGAAATACCCTTGGAAAAGCGCCCCCAGGAGAAAAAAGCTTGACCACTATGCCATCATCAAGTTCCCCCTGACCACAGAGTCAGCCATGAAGAAGATAGAGGACAACAAGACACTCGTATTCATTGTGGATGTCAAGGCCAACAAGGACCAGATCAAACAAGCTGTGAAGAATCTCTGTGACATTGATGTGGCCAGGGTCAGTACCCTAATCAGATTGGGATCATCTAAACTGAGTCCAGCTGGCTAATTCTAAGCACACATTATTTTCACCATATATATATATATATATATATATATATATTCTTCTAACCCATGAACATGAGAGGTCTTTTCATTTTTTGTGTCTTTGATTTCTATCACTGGTCTTTTGTAATTTTCATTGTAGAAATTCTTCACTTCCTTGAGTAAATTTATTTCTATATATCTCAATTTTTGTAGTTATTTTAAATGGGAGTTTTCAAATGGTTTCTCTATCTTCCTTCTTTTCTTTCTTTTTTACAATTCTCTCTCTCTTTCTCTCTCATCTCTCTCTCTCCTTTCTTTTTTCATTGTTGAGTACTGAACCCCAGAAAGTACTTTAAAATCCTGTCATTTGCAACAAAATGGATATGCCATTATGTTACATGAAGTAAGCGAGGCACAGAAAGAAAAATACTGCATCTTCCCTCTCTAATTTGGATAGCCGAAAATGTAGATTTGAGTATAGAATAGTGATTCGTAGACACTGGAAAGGGCAAATAAATGGAGGTTGGATTGTATAAACACATGTTTTGTGCATGTGTTTAAATATACTCAATCCCATTAATATTTATCAGTAACACATATTAATAAAAATAAAATATTTTTAACTGACACACATAAAACCATGCAAAAAATGGTAGCAATAGCTAGGTACCTAAAATTTTTAAATGGCCTTTGTTATGCTTTAGACCTAGAATATTCCACAAAGGTTTCATGTGTTCAGTGAAGAAGACTTTGGAAGTAGATTGAATCATGAGGGTGATATATTCATCAGTGGATAAATGTGTTGTTACCTGTTAGGGGACAGTCAGAAGACCTCGAAGGTCACTCGAGGTGTAACCTGGAAAGATGTATCCCTGTTCTGGCTCTTCTCTTCTCTCTGTCTCTACTTCATGGTTTCTGTGATATGAGCTTTCTTTTATCAGATTCTCTAATAGTGCCCTTCCTGCCTTGGAGCCAGCTGATTATTGCTTGAAACTTCTAAAACTCTGAGCCAAAATAAACCTCTCCTTTAAGTTGTGGGTCTCAGGTATTGTGTTTCAGTGATGAGAAAGTAACTAAGACTGATTTTGGTCACTAGAGTCGGGAATTGCTGTGACTATATCTGACCATGAGGTTGAGAAGCTTTTGGGACTTGTTCATGGGAGGAGTTGGGAAAGGTTTGGGAATACCAGCTAGAGAAGTCATAGAATCAGAAGCTAAGCTTCATGGAAGATTTTGGTCAGAGGTCAGAAAACCAGAATACTCATAAAAATACAGGGAAAAGGCCAGGCTCAGGAGGTTTCAGTTGGGAACAAGAACTTCATGGGCAACTGGGCTCAAGGCCATGTGTACTATGATCTGGCAGAAAAATTGTCTATATTTTGCACATATCCTGAGACTTTGAAGGAGATTGAGATTAAGGACAGAATACCAATTCATCTGGTGGCAGAAATTTCAGCTCATCCCAAATTCAGGATGTACTATAGGTACTGTTCATTATCATTTATCATGAGAACTGTGACCAAAAAGCACAGTTAAATAACCTGAAAACATTTTGCTGGTAGCCAGAAAGGAAGCACCTCTTGGGCCTTATAATGCTAGGGTCAAGGAGAGCTTGATTGCTGATGAGATTAATTTAATTTAATTTAATTTAAGTTATTTTAATTTGCCAAGTACTTATTATCAGGACAATAGGAAAGATGCTTTGAAGGCATTTCAGGAATTATCAAGACCCTGTCCTTCACAGCCTTGGGGGTGAAAATTAGAAAGCTTTCACTTCAGAAAAGAACTGCTGAGCACCCTGCTTGATGAGGGTCATCTAGAGAATTGGTTCACTAGGATTCATTTCATATTGCTCATTCATCCTAGCACTCAGAGGCCTCTGCAGCCATGATCCAAGGGACTTTGGTTACTACTCAAGCTGGCAGCAGACCATGTTGCCATACACATGCTCCTGTTTTTACAAGCATGAAGAATGTAAGAGTTATACAGTCAGGGAAGCTTCCTCTCTGATTTCAGAAAAAGGCTTAGGAGATCCAGCAGAGTGACTCTAAGAGGATATTTCATCAAGTGGCAACAGTAAAGCTGAAAGTACCATGGAAACACCAAGAATTTGGAAATGCCGGGAACATGGAACATATGATAAGGAAAAATGCAGTAAAAGCAGAAACCCCCAAGAGGAAGGTTATGTTGACTGCAACCAGCAAGGATATAGAAGGATATTCCAGTTCACATCTTACCACAACTTGCTCCAAGTATTGGACATGGAGGTACAGGATTTAATATTTGCCCTGCTAGATTTTAGTCTTGCTTTTGTCAGATTATTTTCTATTGCCCTATTTCTTTCCTTTGGAAAAATAATGTTTACCTTGTGCTATTGTATGTAAGCAGTGTTTAACTTTCGTTGTGATTTTTATAGGGTTTCACAGCTAAATGTTTGTGTTGTGTCTCAGAGAAAACTTTGGGCTTGTAATTTTCAGCAATGCTGGAACTTTTAAAGCTTTGGCAACCTTTAGAGATGAACTAAATATATTTTGCATAAAGAGATGGATATGTATCTTTTAGAGGCCAGTGGCAAAATGCTATAATTTAGATCCATAATGTCTCCCCAATGCCTCATGTGCTCAGAGTGGGGCTTTTAGAAGTGATTAGATCATGGAGGTGCTACACTGATAAGTGGATGATATGTCCATAGCTAAATGTGCTGCTTAGAGCTAGGGCCTATTCACAAGAGGCAGGTCACTGCAGAAATCTTCCTCCCTGTCTCCTTCCTTCTCTCTCTGCTTCCTGGGCACTATGATGTGAGCAGCTTTCCTTTGCCAGACTGTTCTACTATGGCCTGCCTGTCTTGGAATCATTGGACCATGGACTAAAACTTCTGAGCCCAAGAATCAAAATCATCCTCTCCTTTGAGTTGCAGATGTTAAGTATTTTGTCTCAGGGATGAGAAAGTGAATGAAACAGCCTCCCTTCTTCAAATAAAAATATGATTAGTTTTTTTCCAAGAAAAATATTTTTATGTGTAGGTTATATATAAATATTCATGTATAAAAGATTAAGAATCGTAACTATATTGCCTCAATTAACTTTTACACTGTGAATATACTTGTGCAATTCTATACAATGAAGTATATGAATTTTACTATTTCTAGTTTGCTAACTTGTATTTCAAGGTTATGATTGTAGATTTTCAACTGTTTCTTTTAATTCTTTTAATTTTTGCCTTACAAACCTTAAGTCTATGCTTGAAACACATAAACTTAAAATTACGTTTTTTTCATGAAGTGGAACCTATATATTAAATTTTTTCTATTTCCAATAATTCTTGATTTCAATTTATTTTATTCTGATATTAATATCATTATGCAAGTTAATTTGATATTTTCATATTTTCATATCCACAGGTCTGTATTCATATATTTAAAGAACATTCCTTAAAGCAACATGGGAAACATTTGATGATTAAACCAGATAATATCTGTCTTTAAATGAGAATACTAATTCATTTGACTTAAATGTGACCAACTAGATTATACATTGCTATATACTCCCCAAAACTCATGTTTTCTGTCTTCTATGGCTTGTGGGGATTTTATTGCTCCCTTTCAGTGCTGGGGATTGAATTCTTGATCTTGTACATTATAGGCACACACTATCCCACAGTACTACATTCCCAGACCCATTTTTAAAATATTATTTTCTCTTTTTTTAGATTATTACTTACACATTTTTACTAAAACTTTAGACATTACCTTAGATATTAAAAATACTTATTAATCCATCAATATAAATTAGTCTTTTAAAATTGAATCCCTGGAAACTTGTTAAAAACCTTGAGACTTTAACTCATCTTATCCCATTCTATCTGTCAATTGTCTGATGCCAATAACATAACATCATAGACTAGATGTGTTTTAAAGACAGGTGGCTGTTTTGGCACATGGTTTTGGCACATGCACATGGAGATGGAAAATTGAGTAGCTACATCTCATGATGGCTATTTTCCTGGCAGAATCCTGAGGTGGCACAGGGCATCACATGGCAAGAGACAGGGAGCACAGGTGTGTATATGTATATCCTTTGGACCCTCTCTCTCTTCTTATAAAGGCCCCAGATTGAAATCATGGAGGTTTCACCCTGATGACTTTCTAAAATCCTAGTGAACTTCTAAAGGCCCTACCTCTAAACAATACATCAGATTGTTTCTAAACTCTGAATACCTCACAATGGAAATTACATTTCAGCATGGGTTTTGAGGAGACAAATCACATTTAAACAATAGCACCTCCTCATGGATTTTGTGTTATGGCTTTTCATTAGTTCTTTATAAATTTTAAATCTCACATAGAATTAGTAGTAGTATCAGTACTACTTAGATTTTATATAATCCACAAGGCTATCCTTTCTTTTTTTTCCCCTCTTTCTAATTTTTCCATTGGGACAGGTTCCTTCTGTCCAAAAGGACTTTTTACATATGTTTGGTGCTTTTAAAAAGTCTCTACATTTTTCTATTTTTACTGAATTTTCAAAGGATATATTTATTGGGTATAGGAATATATAGTTTTGTTTTGTTTTGTTTGGCACTTTGAAAAGTCATACCACTGGCTTCTGGCTTTCAGTAGTTCTGTTTAAAATTCAGTTCCCAAAGTGCTTCTCTGAAAATTATATATCCTAAATAACTCCCTTCCAATTACTTCACAGTTTTCTCTTTATCTTTGATTTTTAACAGTGCTACTAGATAATATGCTTTTCATATTCTCTATAACTTTCTTAGGTCTTTGTGATAATTTTGGAATTTTTTTTCACCTATTGCTTCAATTATTCCTTCTATTTACCACTCCTCATTTTTTCTATGGCTTGTTCTTGTTAGCATGAAACAGGTTCTATATGTCCTTTGTATTTGTTGTAAATTTGTGTTTAATGTTTTTAATCCCTCTATATTTTATTCTGGAATTCTTTTTCAGTGAGAGATTTTTAAGTTCATTAATTCTTTTTTGCCTGTGTCTAGTATTCTATTTAAAATAT